GTTTAATTTTAATACCTCATATTTGAAGTTATTTCAAAGTAAATGCAATAAGAAAACTATAAGTTAAATAGTGATCAATGTCTAAGCTACTGGAGAAATTTCTACAATAATGGTGCAAACAAAAAAAGGAAAAAACTAGCTAATCAGACAAACATTGTTTACTAATTATCTCTATAGTTATAGTTAGAAGTAACTACATATTGTCTCACTAATTAATAATATCATATCAGATTTCAAGTCAGATACAGCTAGATACATATATTTTTGCTACAAGATACACTAAAATAGAAAGAGAAGCGAATGAGAGGATGAGAGAGGCGAGTAAGATCTCAAGATACATGTGAATCATCCTCATATACATGTGAATCACACTAGATACATGTATTTGGATACCAGTTACGCGAAGAGAGGCGAGTGAGAGAGGAGAGTCTCAAGCGAGATAGGAGAGAGGCGAGTGAGAGAGTCAGATACATGTGAATCCACTTTGATATAATGTATCTAAAACAAATTATACCTAATTTTGATCTCATGTATGAGATACACGTATTCAGACGCGCCAGATACATGTATCCAAAGTCCAAAGTCTGATAGATTCGTCATATTACAAACTAGCATCAATCTAAGTAATTGACTTCTAAACTAGTAGGATGTTGTGAGTCACTCAAGAAAATATTGTCGGAAAAAAAACAAAAATAATAAAACCCAAATCTTTTATGATTGGGTCAAAATAGCAGGTTGGGCCCAAAACCTGTTAGGCACGGCTCAGCTGCTTCCTGCCAGGCCAACACAACAGGTCAAAATAGCGGATTTCATGAAAAGCAATAGTCAAGGCCCATATGAAGTGCATGTGAAATGTGTACTGATAAAAATGTATATATATATATATATATATTATGAAGAGTGTATATGAAAAGTGTACATGTAAAAATGTGTACAAAGTGTATATATATATTGTATGAAGAGTGGATGTACTGATAAAAATATATATAGTATGTATATATATATATATATATATATATATATATATATATATATATATATATATGGCCAAGAAATGAATATAAAGTGTATATGAAAAGCTTATTGATATTGGAAGGCTAAGTACTTCAACTGCGATATGAAAACTTATTTCACCCTTTTAGGTTTTTTTAGTTGGAACTTTAGGTCAGAGGCGAATTGAAAGTTAAACAGTGGCAATTCTAAAGATTCCCGAGGGAAAAAATAGATATATATAGCATATAATATACCTTTTCAGCTAGTATACTTCATATTTAAAACACGATGAAGATCTCTGTTAAACCAAGAGGCAAGTTGATGTAACTACAGATGAGTTAGTAGTAACTCAAGCTGTTAAGAAGTGGTTAGAAGTTAGTTAGCTAGTTAGTTAGAGTGACAACTAAGAGGTTTACTAATTGGAGCGTAATTCAGATTGTATAAATACTATTGATGTGTAACTAATTCATCAAGTTGGAATTTATGTGAATTGAGATTCTCTTTCAGCTTCTTCTTTTTTTCTCTGCTTTGCCTCTAGAACATTCACAGCCATGAATGTTAACATGGTATCAAAGCCTCGATCAGCAAGAAGGATCGTCTAAAGCTCAGTTCATCAGTTTCAGCGTAGCAGGAAGATACATATCATGGTGATGGATGGTGTAAACACTGATCCTGCGTCTTCTTCTGTTCTAGGCACAAATCGAGTTGTGATTGATCACAATCACCCTCTGTTTCTTCATCCAAATGATACTCCAGGTAGTTCTCTTGTTTCTCTTCAGCTTACTGGATCTGCAAATTATGCTCTGTGGAGCAGATCTATGAAATTAGGTTTGCTAGGAAAGAGTAAACTAGGATTTATCGATGGAAGACACACTAAAGATAAGTTTGATGCATTTACATGATCAATGGGAGAAAGTGAATGTTGTAGTGTTGTCATGGATCATGAATGCTGTGAAATCTGATCTTCTGAGCAACATCATCTATGCTTCGAATGCTCACAAGGTGTGGCTTGATTTACAGGAGAGATTTGATACTATTAATGGTTCTAGAATATTCTATCTTCATAGGGAGATCGTTACTCTTACACAAGGAACTCAGTCTGTATCTGATTATTTCTCTAAAATGAGAACTCTCTGGGATGAATTTGATGCACTCATGCCATGTCCAGGGTGTAATTGTCCTGAATCTCGCAATTACTCTCAACACTGTGGTTATCAGAGATTTTTACAGTTTCTCATGGGCCTTAATGAAACATATGCTCAATGTAGAAGTCAATTTCTAATGATGTCTCCGCTTCCTACTCTAAATAAGGCCTACTCACTGGTAATTAGTCAGGAAAGTCAGAGATCCATAACTAGTTTATCACCAGTAAGTCAGGTAGCTGAGTCTATTGAAGGAGCGGGTTTCTTCAGTCATAAAGGAGGAACTAGAGTAAATAATTATAGGAATAACTACAACGGAGGTACCATGAATTCAGGGAGAAACTTTTCAGGAGGAGGCTCGAGTTCTGGAGGAAACTACTCAAGCAGGATGCCTCCTGCAAGTGGAGTTAGACCACCAAAGAAAAGCTCAATCATATGTGAGTATTGCAACTATAATGGTCACACCAAAGAGAAGTGTTACAAACTGATTGGGTATCCACCTGAGTGGCCCTCATCTAAGAAGAAATGAATGTTTGCTAATCAAGTAAGAAACTATGGTCATTCTGAATCCGGAGTGAATTGTTCTAGTGATTCTGAGACAACGACTCAATGCAATCTAGGAACTACTCAAACCAGTGCAACTTCATATGGTTCCCTTTCTCATATTTCACTCAAAAGCAATACTCTCAGATTATTCAGATAATTAGCAAAGGTAATGAGGAGATAGTTCCCACTCAGACTGCAAATGCACATACAGACTGCTTCCCTTTCTAATAATGTAGATACTAGTTAGATAATGGATACAGGTGCATCCAATCATATGACCTCAAATTATCGTATGCTATCGAATTATACTGAGGTTTCAAATCCTGAGAAGAGCAAGGTTTATCTACCTACAGGAGGGACAATACAAGTATCTCATACTGGAAGCTCCCATGTTTTAAATGATATGGTCACTAATGTTCTATTCCTACCAGATTTCTAGTTTAATTTGCTATCAGTTTCCAAGTTGACTAAGGAATTACAATTCTCTGTGGCATTCTTTCCTAACTTCTGCTTGTTTCAGGATCTCTACATTGGCATGGTGAATGGGATTGGTAGAGAGAGTCAGGGGTTGTATGTGTTGAAGGACAACACTGTCACTCATTCTCAACAGTGTTCTTCTTATAGTTGTGCAAGTTCTATTAACCAAAGGTCTAATTCTAGCAGTCTATAGCATAAAAGATTAGGTCATGCTCTCCCCCGGAAGTGATCAAGAAGCATGAGAGTCTTTAACATTTAGTCCTTGCAGATCATGTATGCACTGTCTGTCCTTTAGCTAAACACACAAAATTACCTTTTTAGATTAGTATGTCTAGTTCTAAGTCTTCATTCGATATGTTGCATTGTGATATATGGGGTCCTTATAGAGTTCCCTCTCATAACAACAAAAGATACTTTCTCACTATTGTTGATGATTACTCTAGATACACATGGTTGTTTCTGATGCAATTCAAGTCTGAAGCTATTGTTGTTCTACGAGATTTTCTTACAAGAATAATGAATCTGCTTTCTACTACTGTTAAGGTGCTACGAACTGATAATGGTTGTGAATATTTTAGCACTGAATTTCAACTTCTTATGTCTACTCTTGGCATTTTGCATCAGAGTTCATGTGTCTACACCCCACAACAAAATGGGATGGTAGAAAGAAAACACAGAACTATACTAAATGTAGCCAGGTCTCTTAGGTTTCAAGCTGGAGTACCCTTGAAGTTTTGGGGGAATGTGTCACTATTGTTGTGTACATCATTAATAGAGTGCCCTCGAAATTGTTACATTTCAAGTCCTCTTTTGAACTTCTCTACAAACATCCTCCTTCCCTATCCCATTTAAGGGTGTTTGAGTTATGCCTCCACCACATCCATTTCAGACAAATTTGCTGCTAGAGCAGTTCCTGGTGTCTTCATGGGATACTCCTCCACAAAAAAAGGCTACTCTATCTATGATCTTCAGTCCCAATCCTTCTTTGTCAGTAGAAATATAGTGTTTCATGAGTCCATATTTCGTTTCCTTCATACCAAGTCTCTTGGTTCTTCTCTCATCTGGAAGTTCCTTCTAGTAGTCCTTCTCCAAGCCCACCACCTCCTCAGCCTATTCCTCAGCCTCCACCACAAATCTTCTCACCAGTTGAACCAAGAAAATCTACCAAAATCAGACATCCTCCCAACTGGATGACTGATTTTGTTACTCTCTCATCTCACAATTGTTCCTATCCCATGTCTTCCTATGACTCTTATTCTCATCTTTCACAATCGTATAAACATGCCCTCCATGCCTACTCCTCTATCTCTGAAACTTCCTCTTTCCAGCAAGCTTCCTCAGATCCATCTTGGGTACAGGCTATGCAACTTGAAATAAATGTTTTAGAATTCGAACCTGGTATGTTGTAGAACTTCCTCCTGGTAAGGTTCTTATTGGTTGTAAGTGGGTGTACAAGGTGAAATATAAATCTTCTGGTGAAGTGGAAAGGTACAAGGCTCGTTTAGTAGCAAAGGGTTATAGCCAGCAGGCTGGTATAGATTACTCTGAGACCTTTTCTCCTGTTGCTAAAATGGTCACAGTCATGTCTTTAATAGCACTTGCAGCTTCCAAACAGTGGTGTATTTTTTAGATGGATGTCCATAATGCTTTTTTAAATGGTGATTTGGTGGAAGAGGTGTATATGCATATTCCTGAAGGGTTTGCCAGACAGGGGGAGTCTAAGATGGTTTGCAAACTTCATAAGTCATTGTATGGACTTAAACAAGCTCCAAGACAGTGGAATAAGAACTGACTGATGCTCTTATTCAGATGGGATTCACTTAAAGTCATTATGATTACTCGATGTTTACCAAGAAGTCAGGAGAAGAGTTGGTGATAATTCTAGTGTATGTAGATGACTTACTAGTTATTGGAAATAATTTGGTCTTGATCAATAAAGCAAGGGAAGATTTGAAGCACAAATTAAAGATGAAGGATCTTGGAGAACTTAAGTTCTTCTTGGGGATTGAAGTAGCTAGATCACAAGAGGAAATCATGATATGCCAAAGAAAATATGCATTAGAGTTAGTTTCAGAAACTGGTTTGAGTGGATCAAAGCCAGTCAATGCACCACTTGAAGTTAATCAGAAATTGACTTCTGTGGAATATGACAAAAATATATCTACCAAGACAGGACACAATGATGAAACTTTGAAAGATCCTACAACTTATCAAAGGCTAGTAGGGAAACTTTTGTACCTAACAATGACCAGGTTGGACATAGCTTTTGCAGTTCAAGTCCTTAGCCAATACATGCATTGTCCAAAAAGATCTCATATGGAAGGTGCACTGAGAGTTGTAAGATATATCAAGGGCTCACCGGGAATGGGTTTACTGATGCCATCTCAAACTACTAGTCAACTATTTGCCTATTGTGATTCAGACTGGGGTGCTTGTCTGGAAACAAGAAAATTTGTTACTGGGTATTTGGTGAAGTTTGGCGGAGCTGTAATATCTTGAAAGTCCAAGAAACAGGAGACTGTGTCAAGAAGTTCAGCTGAAGCTGAGTTTAAAAGCATGGCTGCATGTACTGCAGAACTCACTTGGCTGATAGGGCTGTTCAGAGAATTGGGAGTGCATATTAACAACCTATAGACCTAATGTGTGATAGTAAAGTTGCAATTCAAATAGCAGCAAATTCTATATTCCATGAAAGAACTAAACATATTGACATTGATTGTCACTTTGTAAGAGAAAGAATCACTCAAGGCGTGATTAGAACTGATCATGTATCAACAGAAGAGCAACTGGCAGACATACTTACAAAAGGCTTGGGAAGATCTCAACATGAATACTTAGTAAGTAAAATTGGACTTAAGAACATGTTTCAACCATCAACTTGAGAGGGGGTGTTAAACTAAGAGGCAAGTTGATGTAACCACAAATGAGTTAGTAGTAACTCAAGCTGTTAAGAAGTGGTTAGAAGTTAGTTAGCTAGTTAGTTAGAGTGACAACTAAGAGGTTTACTAATTGAAGCTTAATTCAGATTGTATAAATACTATTGATGTGTAACTGATTCATCAAGTTGGAATTTATGTGAATTGAGATTCTCTTTCAGCTTCTTCTTTTTTTCTCTTCTTTGCCTCTAGAACATTCACAACCATGAATGTTAACAATCTCTCCACGGATTAAGAGGGAAAGTCTCTTCTTTTTTTCCCTTTAAATCTACCACGGATATATATACATGAATATATATGTGCATCTCACACATATACAATAAGTAAACATAATTTGAACGGATATACATAGTGATACACATGGATATACACCACGTATATCCATGTGTATCAATACAACTTTGAATTTTCCTCTTCTTTTTATGATTACAGCATTATAGAGGAAAAGTATGTTTTCTTCAATTGCAAATTATTGTTTTGTGTTGAAAGTGTATTTAGAATCTAGAGAGAAAGAAAATCTTGAATCCAGACGAGATATTTATTTTTGACTTATCTTCCTTTCATATCATTTCGAAACAAGAACCATTTGTTTATAGCACGACTCAAATTTAGCATCTAAGTTATGATAGTGCACATGTTAAAGCTACTATCCATAAGGCGAATCATCTAAGCAATATCACACTCACATATATAAATTATTTTCCACATTGGGGAACTTGTTTAATCATGCCTTTTGGCTAAACAAAGATTATAGCTAACACTTTGAGCTTGCAAGATTATTTATTAAAAATTGTATCAATAATCGTTTTGTAGAGAAACTTCCACATTGATTCCTACTTTTTGGAGGAAATAATTTAAGGTAGTTGTGCACTTATCCTATTGAGTGTAATTGCAAATTAAACAAGTGTATATTGAGGCTAAGGCATTCTAATTAGGTTGCGTTACGTTACTCAAATCATTTTAGATATTTCTTTAGCTTTCTTAAAACTTTCTCTATTCTGTGTTTATCGTTGATGGATAACTTATTTCATCATTAATGTCTATGTCTATATATATATATATATATATATATATATATATGGAGAGAGAAGTGTTAAAAACACTCTTAAACTTGCCGCAAATTATAAGTTTTGTCTTCAAACTATTAACAACATTAAAAACACTCTTCTACTTGACTAATTAAACTTATATATACACTCCCGATCTATCATATGACAGAACACATGGTTTCAAACTCATGTAGGAGCATGCCACTCTTAATAAAAAGTTGAGAAAATTAAAGTGTTGAAAACACTCCTAAACTTGGCGAGAATTTAGTGATGTATATCACTCATTTTGTAAGATCGGGGGTGTACTTAAGACTGTTAATATATATATATAAATAAAAGAAATAAGTGAGCTATCCTTTTTTTTCATGGTGAAGGCCAATCTTACCGATGACATAAAGTTTTATAAGTGATTTATATGCAGAGAGATCTGTTAATAGGATATGGACATAATTTGATAGTTTACTAACAATAGTGTTTTTTTAATAGTGGAGAAGCAATTTTGAACCATTTAAAACCAAACATATGGCATCCCCCCCCCCCCCCCCCCTCCCCCCTTATTTTCAATAATTTAGGGGCATTTTGGCCCTTTTTCATATATAATTAAATAATCTATATAAAAAAATATAAATTTAAATAATACTAGCAACTAGAGCGATAAATATGGTTTTTTTTATAAATAAACTTTTTTTGTTCTTATCAAATTTTAAAATGATAAATTATTTTAACTCAAAAATACCTAAAATAAGTCAATCAAAATATATTCTAAGTAGGCCGTGGAAATGTAGGAGCTTAATTTAGAATAAGACATGTCATTTAATTTCTTCTTAGCCAATTGGCACATTGAGTGTCCCATTGTAAGTATAAGTTAGGTCAAAATACTTTATTGCAGAATTAAAAGTCTCTATATTCGAAATTAGCTCTGTTTTTTTTTTTTTGGGTCCTCATTATGTAGGAATTACTCTAACATAAAATTCTAACTTTTATTTTAATCTATACAATGTTTATATTCCTTCAGTTTATTTTTTACTTACTCATCAACCTAAAAAAAAATTCACTTTTACTTGTCATCTTGAATATATATATTTTTTTAAAATATTTTATTCTTAGCAATAATTATTTATTACTCAAATTAATTTTCAAGATCTAATATTAAGTTTTATTTTCACATTTATTTATTACTTAATGCTAATAAATTAAAATGGCATATAATACATACATGTGTTAACAATTTGATCTTAGTTGACATCTATGTCATCTAATTTTAGATGTGCATAAGTAGACAATTGAACTTGTAGAGACTTGTACAAATAAACACGTGCATCCTACTTGACGTCTTACATTGTAATTCACATCCTATATGACATCTTATAAGTATGTACTTATGAATAATCAAAATTGAAAGGCCAAATACACATATAGCCCCTTTAACTTGCCCTCATTTTTTATTTTGACACTTTATCTTAGCTTTGTTCAATTTTAACACTTCAACCCTATTTTTAATGTACCATTTAAACACAAGATACTAATTTTATGATTTCTTTAATTCTATTTATGTTTTTTTAACTGAAGTTTTGCATTTAAAAAATCAACGTATGTTTATTAGTTTTCATAAAAAATATTATAAAATTAACTAATGGACATTATATTTTTTCTAAACAATAATTTCTTTTTAGAATCTTTCTATAGTTTTTTGCGTGAAAAATAACCGATGAATGTTGATTTTTTTAATTAAAAAAATCATTAACAGCCCGACGAAATCTATCGAGTTTTAGCATTTTTAATAGTCTTTTTAGCAATGAACATGTCTCTCTTTTTTTTTACTTGGTTTTTAAATGAGTTTATTTATTTGTATTTGGTGAAATTAAAATTACAAAGCGAGTATTTGCGTTAAATTCAGATAAACTGAATGATATGAAAAAAATATTAAAATATGTGGTGTTATTTAATTTAATTGAATGTCTAAGAAAGAAAATCAAAGCACTTTCGTTGATTTATTTTCGTGCAAAAAATACAGAGAAAATCTCAAAAAATTGTTATTATTTCAAAAAAATCGATGTTTGTTTGTTATTTTATTTTTTGCGAAAATTAACAAACACACGTTGATTTTTAAAATACGATACTACAATTGAAGAACATAAATAAAAATAAAGAAATCATAAAAAATAATGTTTCGTGTTTAAATAAACATAAAAAAAATAGAGTTTAAGGATTAAAATGAAACTAGACTAATAGCCCGTTTGGATTGACTTAAAAAAGTAACTTTTAAAAAGTAACTTTTCAAAGTGCTGGAACTTATTTTTAAAATAAGTAGTTATATGTTTGGATAAAAGTGTTGCAGTTGAAAAAAGAGTTGTTGATGTGTTTGGCAAATAAGTGCTGGTAAACATTTTTTTTTATCAAAATGTCTGAAATACCCTTTAAGTTGTTAACATGATGAAAAGTTGATTAATTTAAGGTTTTTATACTTTAAAAAAAATTAAAACAAAATTAATTTATATTTTACATCCATAAGTAATAATATTTTCATATCATTCACATATTTCTTTACCACCACAAATTATTTATAAGAGGAATAATAATAATAATAATATAATAAAATAATAATAATAATAATAATAATAATAATAATGATAATAATAAAATAATAATAATAATATAATAATAATAATAAAATAATAATGATAATAAAATAATAATAATAATAATAATAATGATAATAATAAAATAATAATAATAATAATAATAAAATAATAAAATAAAATAATAATAATAGTTAAAAAAAATAAAAGCAATTTGGAAATTGTATAAAAGAATTAAGGGCAAAAAGGTAATATACTTGGTCAACATAAAATGGCTTTTAAGTTAAAAAAAAAAAAAAACTCCCCTCCCCTAGCTTTTAGCTTTTGGCTTAAAATAAGTCATTTTTTACTTAAAATAAGTTATTTTGATAATTGTCAAACACTCTAATAAGTCAAAAACTGGCTTTAGTTTGACCAGCTTAAAAGCCCATCCAAACAGGCTCTAAGATAGAGTGTCAAAATGAAAAACGATAACAAGTTTGAGAATTGAGGGGTTAGTATGTGTTTGGCCAAAAACTTGAAAAACAATTATATGACATGTTATAGTTTATGTACTAATGAATAATGAAAATTAAAAAGCAAAATTCGTACAAGATGAATCCAATTAAAAACAGCCCAACCCAGATCCAAGAAAAGGACCCATCCGTATATATATATATACTTTTATATTCCTTACCAACTCCTCCCACTTCATGCCACGTGTCAATGACCAAATTCAGGAAAACATTGAATTAATACTCTCTTTATTAGTATAAGAAAAAAAAAAATCCATTTTGTTCTTGGGTTTGTGATTTTGTCTCCTGAAGAAGAAGAAGAATTAATTATGCAGCTGTTAAATGCAATGGAAATTGCTAGAATGACTATGAGGGCACCTAATTCTTTAGGTGCAGAAATTGCATTTGGGACTGTTACATGGTTTGTATATGCTGGGATCTCATGTTTCTTGGTACTATTTGCTGGAATTATGTCTGGTTTAACATTGGGTCTTATGTCTTTGGGGCTTGTTGAACTTGAGATCCTTCAACGTAGTGGAACCCCTCTTGAGAAAAAACAAGCAGGTTTTCATTTCATTTTAGTTCTTGATAATTCTTGTGTAAATAAAGGTTGGATTTTTATGAACTTTATTAGTGTATCTATGTTTGTTTGAGTTATTTGAGCTTGTATTTGAAATGGGTCTGATTAGAATGTACTGAATAATATGGAATTGATGTATTTTTGATTGATTGATTTGGCTGATAGGAATACATCTATGGTAGGGGAAATTAGTGTTTGCAGTAATTTTGGAAGGGTTTAAACTTTTGAACATTGTGGAATGGATATAGTGTTTGGGATTGAAGCATTAGGGAACAATAGTTGATTGATTGATCAATGATCAGGACTACACCTATGCTACGGAAGATTACTCGTAGTTTTGATGGTTTTTACTTTTCAAGAATGGTTTGAATTTTCATTTAATTCTTCATAATTCTTGTAAATAAAGATTGCTTTTTTATGAACTTTATTAGTATATCTATATTTGTTTGAGTTAGTTGAGCTCGTATTTGAAATGGGTCTGAATAGAATGTCCTGAATAATATAGAATTGATGTGTATTTGATTGATTGATTTGGCTGATAGGAATACATCTATGGTAGGGAAAAGTTGTGTTTGTAGTAATTTTGGAAGTGCTTTTAACCTTTAAACATTGTGGAATGGATATAGAGTTTGGGATTGAAGTATTAGAAAAAAAATAGTTGATTGATTGATCAAAACTACACCTATGTTAGGGAAGATTGGTTTTGTACTAGTAGTTTTGATGGTTTTTACTTTTCAAGAAAGGCATAGTCTTGAACAGGTTCTCTATTTGAGTTGAGTTTGAGTTTTCTTTGACCGAATTCCAAAAGGGTTCTCTATTTTGGAGGATAGACGTAATTATTGACGCTACTTCAGACATCTCCTTGTGTGTGTTGAGATCAGATGGTTGTGAAGCTCCATAATGCTTTTCATCATTCTGTATCGTGATGATTAATCATTGGTAGACTATCAAATACATTGGATTTATTTTTCTGGATTGTGATTTGAGTATCATTAGTAGTCTGTCAGTTGTGTTGATCCTTCGAAAAATGATGGTGCTTTTACCTTAAGGGGCTTACATGTTATTGGGGATCGGTCATGATGTCTGCTCTCTTCAATACTTCTCTGTGTATGTGTGTTAAAGATTGAAATCATATGTTTGTGAAGCTCAAGAATTCTTGTTTTCATTATATTGAAACGGATATTCTTAACAGACTTAAATGATAATTGGCTTTGAAAATTTAATGGCTGTGTGAAATGAATGATGTTTGTTACTGGTATATTAAAGTGATTATGGAGCTTAGGCCTTATTAGTTGAGATATTGAAGGGTGATACAAGTTGAAGTGAACCAGTCATTTCTGGAATAAATTATCATTCCAACTCTTACTTTAAAATAGGACTGATTAAAAGATATATAATTATCTCTGGATCTAACGTATCTGTGTGGCTAAATGTATATACAGGAACACCTTAGGAACACCTTATAACTGTTTCTGTTATTTTGAGTTGTTGCTTCCTTTCTGGAGGGAATTTCACTCATGGATATTTCTCATATTCACTGATTTCTATCTTTTCAGCTACAATATTTCCTGTTGTTCAGAAGCAACACCAGCTTCTTGTGACCCTCCTTCTATGCAACGCTGCTTCGATGGAGGTAATAACCCTGATATCTGGCTTTTTGATTCAGTCTAGGATGCCTGCAGTTAGATTTACAAAATGTGAAACAAAAACAAGAAGAGGAAGTTGGGTATGGGGAAGGTGAGTGGAGGGGGTGAACCGGAGAAAATGCAACAGCTAATAAACATTTTATTTGTTAAATTGGAATGATTGTCGTCCATATAAAATTGACGAAGTTTTTAGGCACTGACCTGGTTTTTGAATGCGGGGTTGTGCAAGCGAAGAGATATATTGATGGACTTGAAACTAATCAGATGCACTTTCATGGCCCAGCTAAAGTAAAGCGGGTGCGGAAAATCTGAAGTAGACACAGTTGTTGAATCAAACTAATGAATTAAATGAGAGAATAGGGATTTACCTGTTCAAGAAAAAATGATTGATGAAAGTAGATCAAATGTGGAGAAAATATTAATGTCTTTTTGTAATTTATTTACTTGTAGATGTACTTTGTAATGAAGTGAGGTGATAAGGATCTTTACTTTTTTTTTTTTCTTTTTCATTTTTTGAATTTCAGGCACTACCTATATACCTGGACAAAATTTTCAACCAATATGTGGCCATTATACTATCAGTAACTTTTGTTTTGGCATTTGGCGAGGTAATATCTACTGCTTGGCCTCAACTAGTATCTTAATATTAAAGAGCTATACGTGATGCTGTGATGCTCCTGCTATTCTTTGGTTTCAGGTTATTCCTCAAGCCATATGCACCAGATATGGACTTGCCGTAGGTGCAAGCCTTGTCTGGCTTGTTCGTGTTCTGATGGTTCTATGCTACCCAATTGCTTACCCTATAGGAAAGGTAACTACTACAGTCTTTGAGCAATTGCTTCAAAGATCTTGAGATCATCGGAATCATCCAAAGAGAAGTGACAAGCCAAACAAATGCATTGACTTAAATTACTACCATTATAAGAACACATCTGAAATGTTTAAAGGCTTTTCGAGTCATATGGATATTGTTGGTTTGATGCAAAGCTAAATGAATAAAAGAGGATTTATCCTCTAACCTGTTTAAATCATTTTGAGAGTGACACCAGTAATCTATTGCATCTCTAAGAAGTTGCTTAGGTTAATATAGATGTCCAACCCTAAAGTAACCAAGAATTGATCTTGATCCGACTGCATATGTTTATAATCTTGACATTGTTGTATATCCAACTATCTTTATGTGATTCTCATTTAGGGTTCTTTCTTGTAGAAATTAGTTTACCATTAAGATTAGATCTTGTGGAACTTATTGTGTTGATGGTGCTGATGTAGTTTTCCTATTCCTATTCAGTTAATTTTGACTAGATTTATGTTTTACCTAAATGTGGTACAAATGGAGCGAATGGATAATTAGGATTCTTCTAGTCGACCCATCTAGCTTGAGATTGACACGTAGTTGTTGTTAATGTTAATGTTAGATGATCCTCATTTAACGTTCTTTCTTGTAGAAATTAATTTACCATAAAGACGAGATCTCGCGGAACCATTGTGCTGATGTTACTGATGTTGTTCTCCTATTTTAGTGGACTTAATTTTGAATCTTTGGAATGAAATCCAGTTAGAAAAGGAAATCCAATTAGAGATAAGCTGTCCATGAGCATCATGGCATAGGTAAAAGGGAACAAAGAGGCAACTCTTTTTGTGTTGTGTTCCATACCTGAATGTAATACAAATGGAGCGAAATGGATAATGAGGATTCATATAGCTGGCCCATTAGCTTGAGGTTGACAAGTAGTTGTTTTTGTTGTCTATGTTGCGCGGACTCTTCGGAATCCCTGTTGCACCAGTGTCGTCACGACAAGGGTGTGAATGTGGATCCATACAAGATTTGGTTGACTTACCTTGGGTATTTTGACCACATTTTGTGACCGAGAGGATAAATTGATTGGGTATTTGGTTTGATATTTGGGTTTATGTCATATATATAGTTATATAAAGTATGGGAATGCTTCTCTTATGCAAGATAAGATAAGTGAGAAGCATTTGAATAAAAGATCCTGGACAACTGAATAGGATAAATTCAAATCATGTTTCTCACTTCTAGGAAATGCTTGCACTGAGCTTCTTTCTGCATTTGAACTTTGGAAAGAGCAGAAAGGACTTGTCTGAGGATGGCATTTGCATTTCCTTTTGGCTAATAAATGCTGGCATAGATTTGGTTTGATACTTGACTTGTTACTTGATTATATTTATGACATGCTGTGATATCAATGCTCAACAATATTTTGGAAGTGAAAAGAGATTTAGATAAAGGAGGCTTGAAACACGAAATGCCAACCCATATGATCTGGTTTTTTCATAGTCAATCTTCTAACATCCTATTTCAATGAATCCTTCTTAAGCAAAGTCAAGCCAATCTTTTAAGATATTGATGGCATATGAAGTACTAAAGTCTAAAGCTGAATTTATTCTTCAGTGTCCTTGCACTTCAAAGTTGGCTAGTATTTTATCAATTGTCTTTTCTGTCTAGAGCTAGTGAAACATTTGTCTATGACATTCTTACTTCGTCATATAGTGGTCTTAATCAAGAAATGAAATCTATATCTTTCTCTACCTAGAACATATAACAACATAACATTTGTGCTTCTCTATGTTTTGTTATCCTAACTGCCAGTGAAGTTCTTAAGTGCTTCCAGATTAGGTTGCCAGTTCTCAGAAATGGTAGAACCTCTGACTTTATTTATGCTGGTTTGTCTTTCCAGATCCTGGACTGCGTGTTGGGACACAATGAAGTACTATTCAGACGTGCTCAGCTGAAAGCCCTTGTTTCTATTCACGGCCAAGAGGTTTGAATTGTATCTTGATTATCTGGAGTAATTTGAATGTCTAACCAGTTGTTACCAAGCTATAAGTTCCCTTGGCATTTCATATACCATGATTCATTATTGAGAAATTTTTGCAGGCTGGCAAGGGAGGTGAACTTACACATGATGAGACAACAATCATTAGTGGAGCACTGGATTTGACTGAGAAGGTAATGTCTGTTTCTGACATATTCAAAAAGTCAGTATCTGAGATTTGTAGTTCAAGACACCAACTCTTGACTTATTTAATCTTTATAGCCTATTATCTCCTTTTCTTGAGTGTGTGTGGGGGGTGGGGGAGAGGAGTTGACCATAGAAGAAATACTCAGCAACTGATCCTTAACCGAATCAATATGTAGCGTCTTAAATCCTTTTGACTGTACTTTCTCTCTCTTTGTTAGCCATGGTGGTGTAATGATCCTCTTCTCTTTTGTTCTATTCTTTTCTTCTTATGGATAGACTGCTGAGGAGGCAATGACGCCCATTGAGTCAACATTTTCATTGGATGTCAATTCAAAGCTGGACTGGTGAGTGTTGGGCAATTAGTCTACAATGCTCTTAACTTACAAACTTAGTTCTGTGTCATACTTCTCAGATAATGAACTTTCAATGTATGGTATTTCATTGTCAGATGTATGCACTACAGTTCCCCTTTAATTTTATGTTGTCACAATAATGAATAGGTTTGCTTCTCATGATTAGTTGATTGTGGCTTACTTCATGAGAATCAAGCAACCAATAAGTAAATCTTCCTGTGCTACCCTCGAACACTTGAGCTAATGGTTAGCTTCTCAAAATAGGATTTGTTCTGCTATCGGTTTTAATGATTGAGAGTTAGCACAATGCTTCCATCTGTAATGCTTGGAAGTCAAAATTGAATAGTTTAATTGTAACATGTCATATATCTACTTCTCTGATCAGGCAATCCATGCATGCTTTAATTTCACTGCTTACATGTACCAAAAAAATGTTCAATGCTTACATGAAAGTGATTTTGGGGTTAATATGCCATTACCATACTTATCAAGGCTTACTATCTTCATCATCTTTTCTCTTATTTTTGTTTCCCTTTGGGTGGGTGCTGCAACGGAAGTTAAATTAGAGGCTTAGAGGAGCTCTTGCTAATTGAACCTTAGGTGTTGACTTAAGATTATGTTCTTATTCTTCCAAAAAAAGAAAAGGAATACTCTTTTCCAATGAGTTGTGTAACCTCCATAGCTGTATGCAGTAGTTATGTCCTCATGCAAATGTTTATGCTTGCATTTGTTATTTCGGGATTCCTGAGAGGAATGTGACTAAGGATCTATGTTGCTCGGATATGGCTGTGGGCACTCGACAGGGGGGTGGATCTAGTAGTCAGATTCATCATCATCAAATCTTAGGTCTAGGGGAAACAGATAGGAGTATGGCTACGGGTGCTAAGTTACAACCAGTAAATGTATATTGCGACATGTACAAGTATATATTTCGAGAATTAATTGAAGTTATTAAATTAAAGCTAATATGGTTAAATTCTTTGTAAGTACTTAAAATTTTATTCATAAGTTATCTCGTATGATAGCAAAATGTTCTAGTACTTTATGTAAACATATGGTGTAAACCCAAAATGGCACCAAATACCAAATCAGCCTATACTCTTGGCCATAGTATAGTAAAAGCACCCAAGTTAGGTTGATCAAATCCAGTGCGGGTCCCACCCACACCCAAATCGTGTCAGATCGACATGGGTGCGGTAAGGATTTTGAAGAATCTAGCTATGGATGCATTGTTGTTGAAGTGTTAGTCAAATATTCACGTTTACTTTTTAAAAATAAGAATATAGACTGAATGCATCTAGCCATAGGAGGAAGACAACATTGGATATGTAACAAGTGATTAAATCGCTTCTTTTTTCCCCATCATAGGGAGGCAATGGGAAAAGTTCTTGCTAGGGGTCATAGCAGGGTTCCTGTGTACTCAGGCAATCCAAAGAATATTATTGGTCTACTTCTGGTGAGTTTTGCATAACCTTCAAATCACGTTTCACTTGTAATCTTGCTACTCTTTGAAGTCATGATGATTTGGTACTTGAATAATGTTAGGTAAAAAGTCTTCTTACAGTGCGGCCGGAAACAGAGACGCCAGTTAGTTCTGTTTCAATTCGAAGAATTCCACGGTATTAATTTCTAGTTCTATACTTGATTGTGTTTTACAATTGTGACTTTTAAGCTCAAAATGTTGTTTCTCGTACATCTTTCAGAGTTCCTGCTGATATGCCATTGTATGACATACTAAATGAGTTCCAAAAGGGTAGCAGTCATATGGCTGCAGTAGTGAAGATTAGAGGAAAAAGCAAAAAGCCTCCCTTGGTCATTGAGGAAGAGAATTCTCAGGATGTTGCAGTCACTGGTGAAAGTTCTGTGTTAACTATACCTCGCTTGAAAGCAAAGAATGATAAATCAGATAGTGTTGTTGTTGATATTGAAAAAGTTACAATACCAGCAGCAGTAACCTCACCGACATCTGGTGACTCACTGACAAATGCATTGACTCCGTCATCAGATGATATTGAGGATGGTGAAGTAATAGGTATTATCACATTGGAAGATGTATTCGAAGAACTTTTACAGGTATCTACTGGCGTTCTTTTGTTTTCATACATCCTCTTCTGCATATCTAGATTAACAAGTGGTACTTACATTTTAAAACTGGTCATGGTGCAGGAGGAAATAGTAGACGAGACCGATGAATATGTTGACGTACATAGAAGGTGAAACAGATTTAGAGAACTTAGTTATATCTAATCAGTGTTATATGTATTGGAGAGGATATTCTAATTTCTAACATTGATTTTAACAGGATACGCGTGGCTGCTGCAGCAGCTGCTTCAGTTGTGGCACGAGCTCCATCAATTCGTAGATTAACAGCCCAAAAGGCAGCTGTAAGTCCACATATATTGTGTACAACTGTCCTGAAATATGACGAAACCTTCTTGAAAGTCAATGTTCACCATTTAAGATTTCTAAAATACATAACTAAGGTTGCAAGAAACTCGATTTGCATTTTGACATCAACTGATCGTAAATGACTACATGGAACATGAGCTTTATTGTGCACCTAATAATGCATCTAGTTCTGTCTATATCTTTCTTTTTCCTAATGTAGTTTGAGCTAAACATTTTCCTGATAATCGCGGATTTTTTAAATTTGATTCTTCAGGGAGGCCAAAATAAGGAAGGACATAGCCCCAAGAAGTCCAGTGAGGACTCTTCTACCTCAAGAAGAATACAAGGGAGTCTTAGAGAGCCTCTCCTTGAGAACAAGAGATAAATAGTAAGCTAAAGCTTCCCTATCTCAGTAATGTGTAAAACCAGAGTCTGCAAACGCCGAGGAAAGGAAAAAAAATGCTTGTGCAATTTGCACATATAATTTTGTGAGGATATACTTATTTATGTGTGAATACATGCCCACTGTATGATGATACATCTCAGATTCATTAATGTTATGGGAATAATATGATTTCCATGTTGCTTTGTAAAGACAAATTTATAGTAACTATGAATAAGCCTCCCATTCTTGGCAAAGAAATAAGATGAAACTCTGAAGCTGGTTTCATGTTCCCTACTTTAAAAACTACAGTAGTGATAATACTGAGGCAAGAATGTGTATTCACTTAACCGCGGTTAAGTGATAACAAAGCATATAAAACATGTTATGTATTCATTGAGTTGATGTAAACACGAGATGTGAGTAAAGACCCTTTGAACTCTGCTTGATCATTTCCAAAGATTTATGGATTCAGAATTTAAGTTCACTTCATAAAAGTAGTCTTTTTTCTAAACTTCACAAAGACACTTGATTGTGCCAATAAAAACAACAAGATGTCTGAATTACTAAAAAACTTACCAAACGATATAACACAAAGTATGCTATATTGAAGTTTCTTCTTCATCAAAATGCTCAATCATATTATCATTCCAAAGAAGAAGAGTTACTGAACATCTCCAAATAATATAAATCCTTGTTCTTTGTTCTTGAATGTACTTACAACACCTTTGCCATGACCTAAACTTCAATTTTCTTGGCAATAATAAGTCCCTTGTCATCATGATCATGAAACTTGATAAAACTTTGGCTATTCAAGAAATGAATAAAGATTTTATTCTTTGATAGACAAGATATATAGTTTGAAAACACAATAAAAATAATAATTTTGTGTTAACTAATTGACAGATGTTGTTTGCTGATTGGTGAGTATGTGCTAGCCTGTAAAGGGACCTACTAAGTTTTTGGTAGAAGAATAAGCAGAGTGATCAGCTTGTCTCCCTGCCAAACTCCAAAAAAAAAGTAAGTGACTCAACCAAATTGTCACACTTATAAAACAAGTTTTTTTTCAACACCTTGTGAATATATTTTAAAGATATGCTACTGTTTAATTATTCTCAACAACTATGATTTTTTACAGTTGAGGAGAATATATGGGAAGATAAGAATAAAGTCGTTATAGTCGGTTTAAAATACATGAACTTTGATATTTTTACAATATGAAAATGTTCTTAGGCATCTTCTTGTCCTATAGTCCCTTTATTTATTCCAAAGGTCATATAGAGTACAGGAAATACTGCAACAAATTTGGATTCTTTTTAGATTTGATAAGTTAATTATTCACTCATCTCTTCTTTTACATGTTGTCCTCCTTATATCTCGTATTCACGTTAACAGTGGAGTCGAAATTTTCTCTAAATGAGTTCAAAATATGAGAAGTGAACACATGAAGAAGTCAAATGGGTTCAACATCTACTGATTACTATAAAAGTCAAAATGGTTCTAATAAACCCATTGGCACTACCTAGCTCTGCCCTTATATCCCGTATATTTTTATTTGTCGGATTTAAGTTATATAGCATAACAAAGTAAATAATCTTCACATTATCAATTTTTTTTAACTAGTTAGAGAAAATTATTTAGTGCATTTTTAGGTTATTAAATTAAGATTATTATATGTCGTCGTAAATTATTTTCACCCTATACAGTTCGGTATACATAAGTTAAACTTTTTTTATTATTATTTATTTGAAAATCTTCATTTAATCAATAGGATGATTCATCAATTTGGTTACATTCTCATAAAGTGAGAACCTACATGCATTACATCCCCCCAAATTATAAAATCAATTTATTTTTTTGGTAAAATAATAAATAAATTATATATGTGCAATATACAGAGTAATTTCCCTGGATAGTCACTCATGTTTGGGAAATTACCTAGGAATATCACTTATGTTTGTTTTAGGATCACAATATCACCCAACTTTACCTCTTTTCCTCAAAATATACTTGACACAAAAAAATATTATTTCTCTCCTAATAGGATGCCATGTCACATTATTCCTTTTTTATTATTAACATTTTTTAAAATTCTTTAAAAACATTATATCCTTTGTAGTTTGACAATATGGTTACCTTATTACTCTAATGAATTAAAATATCAACAAAAAGGGAGTTCGAAGCTAAAAGGGTCATTTTTTCCTTCAAAAAACAAAAAGGGCACATCAAAAAAAAATTAACCAAAAGGGCAAAATCCCTCTTGACGGATCGATTTTCTTCTGACAAAAATTGACACCGTTCCGTTAAAAGAAATAAAAATCGCTGCATTTGACAACGATTTTCTCAAAAAAAAAAATCATTATTTCTTTAAAATCGCTGCTAGAGCAGCTTTTTTATAAATAAAAAAAATTAAAAGTGAAATCGCTGCTATAGCAGCGATTTTTTGTTAAGGAATTTTTAAAAAAAACATAAAGAACAAGTTTTAAATTACATAAATTTCCGGCAACAGCCATTTAAAAAAAAAACAAGTTTTTTAAAGAAAAAATCGCTACCGAAGTAGCGATTTTCAATTTTAATTTTTTTAAAATTTTCATTTAAATCGCTGAAAGGGTAAAGATTTTTTTAAAAAAAGCTTTTTATGAAAATCGTTGGCTTCAGTTTTAATTTTTTATTAAATTCTCTGCAAGGTAGGATTTTTTTTTAATATAAAAACGCTGTTATAGCAGCGATTTTAAAGAAAAAATATTTTTTTGAGAAAATCGGCAGCGATTTTTATTTCTTTTAGCGGAGCGGCGTCAATTTTTGTCAGAACAAAATCGCTCCATCAGGAGCGATTTTGCCCTTTTGGTTAAATTTTTTTTTGATGTGCCGTTTTTGTTTTTCAAAGAAAAAAAGTTGCACTTTTGACTGCGGACTCAACAAAAAGGTGCCATTCCCCATTAGTGCCCATATAAAAACATTATCTCGCTTGAAAAATCGGAGGAAGCCACATATTTTCTTGAAGAATCGGAGGAGCTCATATTTGGATTTGCCGCCTAATCCCCTAGAACTAGGACAGAAATTTTTGGGCTATGTAATTTTTTTTTACTAGGTAATATGGGTTGTCTAAATTTTTTTTTTAAAAAAATGTTAATAATGAAAAAGGAATAATGTGACATGGCATCCTATTAGGAGAGAGATAATGTTTTTTTTGTGTAAGTATATTTTGAGGAAAAGAGGTAAAGTTGGGTGATATTGTGGTCCTAAAATAAGCATGAGTGATATTCCAAGGTAATTTCCCAAACATGGGTGACTATCCAGGGAAATTACTCCAATATACACACATGTTGGTTATGAACGGAATATTTTTATACAAATTAAATTAAAAAAAAGAAAAGAAAAGGAAGAGACTTATAATGAGAAGGTCAAGTAACAAAATGTAATTTACAATTATCAAGAAGAAAATAGAACACAGTTTTTACATAGCTAATTATGAAAATAAATAAAAATTGAACCCAACAAATCTAAAAAAACTAAATCATCCTAATATAGATTCTAGGAGAAGTTGTCCTAACACAAAAGTATAGTTAATTATGCAAATCCACAAAACAAAAAATGTGATTTACACCATTATAAAACAAAATTGAAGGTAAAAAATAATAATCTAAAATTACTTATCCCAACACAAAAGCATAGTTATGCAAATCCTCATAATGTAGAGCTTTCCCTTTTGTTGTTTCACCATTCTTCTTAACTTTGATAATCTCATCTGCTTCCTCATCATTATTATAAATCTTCCTCTTAATTGATTTTAAAAAAAATATTTCACAAAAAAACTTGCACCAAATAAGCTACTCATCAAAAACTCCAAATGAACCTTCTATTTATACATGAAGACATGACTTTGATTTGATTAATTAACTACATAATTATATATTAATTAGAATGTGACTTAATTAGGTATTAGAGTAGGGGTAGGGTCACAATGCACCCTGAGATAACATCCATGTCACGTGCCCTTTCGGGTTTAAGTCTTCTAAGTACATACATAAATAGATAAATCTTTGTCTGCCACTATAATCATGATTGCCTCCCGCAGACATGAAGTTAAGATTTCAAGTTTATGAATTCTGAATTTTACAATAATGTGATAATAATCGAATTTTAAATTTAATATTCGTACACAATAACATAAATATATTATTTGAACTAAATGTACTGAGTTCGATTACACACCTGCATACGAGCTACTAACTCCGCGATAGCTTAGCCACGGTCCACACATACGTGTTAACAATTATATTTAAGTTATTTGTATCTAATTAATGTACATCTTATCTTCCATATGGGTAATTAACCCCACTGTCTGTCTTTTCATCAACACTATTATTATATTACTTCTTTAATTTCCTAATTTATTATATAGTTATATATTTTATATTTTACACATAGATGAGAGACATATATAAATGAGAAGTTATAGATTGTGAAGAACCTCCACGACCCCAGGAATGCCAACATTCATGCAACAATAAACTTCACATGACCTATAAAGACTTGTCCTTTAGATACACTAAATCTTAGTAGTTTGTCATGTTAAAAATCTATGAGTTATTTATCTTGATTCGTCACCATGAGGGTCACATACTCTCTAAGACATCTCCCTTCTACTCTTATGTTTTCTAGGTTGTATTTACGGTAATACTCATATGTTTCATTTTACTTGATCTTTGTTGATTTGACATTTTTTATGCAATTTTTTATTTGGGATTTGTTTTATTAATTATCTTTTGGAAATTAAGTTTGACTGTTATTACTTTATGTAATTAGTTAATTATAAGGATAATATTGAAAAAAATATAAATCTCTCTTAATTTGTTAAAATAAATAAGTAAAAAGAAAAAATTATTTTTGGCATAAAGATCAGGTAAAATGAAACGAAGTAAATATATAAGAATGATGATTTTTTTTTTCTGTATTTATTTTATTTTGAAAGTCAACATATATAACTAACCATCAAACTATACACAGTTAATTCTGTTTAGACAGAGTTCAGCACAAACTTTCTTAATATGATTATCTTTGGAGATTTGTTGAATCTCTCGATATAGTGCATTTAACTTTTAATTAAGTTTCTTATTTTAGTTTAATGAGATAATTTATAGCCCACACAAATATTATAATTATGACTTCTTCCTTTTTAAAAAGGGTAGAGCAAAGAGACATGAGGGAGGGAACTATTAACACTATAATTAAAATAACTTTTAGCAGCAATAAATATGCACATT